TGAATTTCATTATTACCTCCAAACCAAGGTAAATAGCGAAGTACCTAGGTTACCCTGGTATGTCTGCGTTGTTCAAGTTTGTTCAGTATCAACAGATGAGGTCGATATCGACGGAGTAAAGCTCCAAACGGGCAATTATTATCTTAATCTATATTTAAACAACGTAGTCAGGCTGCTGCTCTCTTTATAGAAGACATTTGGTGTAATATTTTGAAGAATGTACTTTAGAAGCACGCTAGTTTAAACTCGCTCTCCTCATATATTCCATCACGTGGAGGTTCATCAAAACCATGCGGTTTTAAAGTTGGTAGGACAAGATTTGTAAAGAACTATAATAAGCGAAGTACTGCTAATGACTGTTATAATTTTACAAACAACAATATTGAAATTTTAAACTTACCTGTGGATTATTTTGTATGCCAAATAACTTTCCGTGTTTGTAGACGGAGTATATCAAAGCAAGTGGCGCAACAGTCTCTGTAGAAAGTGAAAACAATGAAGTTGTGAATAATGACCCCCCACCCCCGGAACTCGAATGAGTCAACTGATATGGAAGTTTAAGAAATGCAGTTCAGTATTTGTAATCGAGAAATGTTGTCGAATCAGTGCAGCTGACAAATATAATTAATATTTAATCCAGGCTATCTTATGTCTGCAGCGTATAATAGCTGAAGGAATTGTTGAGATCGCAGAAAGTTATAAAGATAGTTCCTTTATGTGAAACTCATGCGGTGAAGGTTTTAATACCACTTGTGACTATGAAACACACAGAATATTAGGTTAATACTGACATGAGAGGATGAGAGATTCGTTTGTTTGTTTGAAGTTAACCACAAAGCTATACAATGGGCTATCTGTGCTTTGCCCACCATGGGTATTGAAACCCGGTTTTTAGCGTTGTAAGTTCAGGATGAGAGAGACCGACAAATTGTGTGTATGAAGTTAGACACGTAACAATGTTATAATGACTCATTTGTTTGTTGTTAACCACAAAGCTATACAATGGGCTATCTGTGCTATGGTCACCATAGGTATCGAAACCCCAGACTTACCGATGAGCCATTAAAATGTGTGTTATAATGATATTTGAATTAAAAGCCAAAAAAAAAAAGTAGTCGCGAAATATAAATAGGATATTTTATTATAGAAAATGCAAATATGTAGTCATGAAATATTTTGAATCCGTCCCATCAGGGCAAGTTACATTCTTAATGTAGTATGAATACGTATACATTAAAATTTTGTGTGAAGAGACATACGATGCAGTGTAAGGTTTAAGTGTTATTATACCGCAGTCTTAACGTTACTAGCTATGGGTTTTTCTCGTCGGTTCTCCTGTTGAAGAACAACAAGCTGAAACATACAGTAATAGCCAATTGCTGGTGAATATGTAATATGGTAATTCAGTTTCAAAGGGTGCCTATTTCAGTCTATACGTTTTTAACAATACGAATAACGTTGTGTTACGACAGCGGTAGTCACGTGACGCTGATAACACGTCATGATATTCTAGAAGATTCATGAAGAAACGAGATGTACGCTTTTTGTATATATAAGACCGGTAAGAAGTGACGGCAAACAATGTAATTGAACTGCAGACAGAGATAGAGACTGACAATTG